CACTTTACATCCTTGTTCTGGATGTCCTCCCGCCCTGGGTTTACAGGCTTCCTGGTTCGTGAAGGTAGCACGTGGGAGACCCCGGTGGTGGCCGTTCTGGCCTCTGGATGTGAATACTGCTTCCAAGAACCGCCTGCCAAAGCGACATCTGTCACCTGTTAGAACATGTGCTTTATGTTTGTTTGTACATATTTTCCACGAACGTCATAATTTATATAGTGTGGCTGAACAGGATGTGACCTTTCGTTGTCTAAAGGTGCTGCAGTAAACACTTTTTGTCCTTCAACATGGCACTTAGTGGAGTTTTTTGGATTTCACTTTGGAGGCATTAAAAAATTGTAAAATCATGTGACAGTATCTAATAAGTTATAAAATAGGGATTATCAGCTTGTGTTTTCCCCATGAACAACTCAGAACTGACATTTAATTTCTATCATGTTTGAATGTCCTACGAACATACTTCTTTTGCAGGATGTAAAAGAAAGGTGACGAGAATTAGTTTCTATAAGTGTGCTGGCTGTAAATGATGCTAAATACAATACTTTGCGCACTAAGGGCTCACGGGGCGCAGTAAGACGGCTTTACTTTACTGGCGATAAGGAATGTTTGCGCCTCCACTATTGCATTGCTTCTGGATGTGAAGCCACGTGATCATTTCCGCTATTATATTAAGTGCCACAATTTTAATAAAGCAAATGTACATATGGAATCATTGTAGCTGGTATTTCCTGAGAAACAGTTCCTTGAAAATCAAACCTAATATCTTCCTATATGAAGTTCTGACCTGTGTGTATTTGTGTGTTTATTGGAAATACTAGGATAGAACTTTCCTATATATTTTATAGTGGAATTTTAATAGGTTCCTTTTCTTAGGATTGAATATAAAGTACCTGACATATACTAGGTTTATTAGGTGCTCACTGATTTTGTTAAGAGTTGATTTTATTTCGCCTTTCTAGGGAATAAAATTAGTTGACATATGTGGTATACATATGTATTTGGAAATACGTTAAATATGGTTCTTCTCTAGGTAGAGGCTGGATTGATACCGACCTTACCTCAGGGGAGGGCTGTGTGCCTGGGGCCAATTCACACTTGAGCCCTAACAGGTAGGACATGTTCGTCTTTACACCTCAGGCACAAGTCTTCTAAATCCGGCAGACCAGGCTTGGAATTCTCTGTTCCAGGGCGAGCCAAACGCTGGGTCTCCAGCTGCCTGGGATTTAATCTTAAGTTCTTGCTACTTTAAAACTCAGATTCGACACTTGGAATATGTTTCATTGCTTTTGGATATTAAAATGTACACAGAACACCCTGTCTGGCTTTTGTGGTAGTTGATCTAGGTGGAGTTTTGTGTTTTTTTCTAGACTTCCTTTAAAAGAAAAAATACAGGTCCACAGTCCCTTATATGAAACCCTTGCATCCAAATGTTTTTCAGAATTTGGATTTTAGAACATTAATACCAGTGCATATAAACTGGGTTTAATGAGGCTTTTCCATCAGAGTTGGGCAGCTCCCTTTAATCAAACACATTAGTATTTCTGCAGTGAGACCATGAATACCCACCCACAGTAAACTACACAGACGTGAGAAGTAGCCTCATCTAAATTTAGGTCAGGTTTTGCCACCCATAGTTTGCAGTAGATGTATATGGAAAGTTTTCATTTTTTGGAACTTTTTAGATTTTGAAATTCAGGGTAAGGAATTTTGGACCTGAACTATTTTTTTATTAGGCTCCCCTATTTTGCTTTTTTTATTAAAAAGAAGATGGAAACTGCCAGCTGGTGTGGGCATAGCTGCTCCTGAGAAAGGGGTTGGAACAGGCCTTCTGCACTCGGGAGCGGGTTCTGTGCTTCCCCGTGAGCGGAAGGGCGGAATGCTCCACAGCCTCCGGGGGGAGACCAGTGACGAGCCTGAGAATGATGGGAAAATGTTCAAATAGCGTTCAGTCAAATAAAGAGAACAGGTCTGCTTTGGGGACTGGTGGGGTTGTCTTTCATTAGCGCCAGCTGACATCTTCTGTCCTTCCAATATTTTGCAGACCTCAAGGATAAAAGCTAGTAGAAAACAGCAGTTAGATGAGATTTTAATGAGTCATGTATGACTCCGGCTTCTACCAGAGACAGAACCAGCAGGAGACACACGGACACAGACCTGGGAAGAGCTCTCCTTCCAGGAGCTGACTCGCCATCGCGGAGGCCGGCAGGTCCGCGACCTGCAGGGCACGCACCCCACAGGCAGGAGCTGCAGTCGGCAGGTGGAATTTCCTAAAACTCTGACTTCTGACGCTTCTTCTCCATTTATCTTGTTTTGACAAGTTTGGCCTAAAGTGTCATCACTCCTTCATCGGTCTGGAAGCCGGTCCCGGGCCCCCCATGCTGTCAGGTGTGGGCGAGACTGGGGAAGACTTGGATACCAAAGCCAACGCGAGGTACATTTTACTGAAAAATAAGAGCTGTGTGTTTAAAATTTGGGCTTGTTTCTCCTGTAGCTGCTAAGTGGCCCGGGAAGTGCCCTCATTTATTCTGGATACAAAGCCCAGGACAAAAGGTGAAGCCGCACTGTCAGCTCAGAATCCACCTTGTGTCCTCGGTGCCCTTAGACCCGCTCCTTCCACCCGCTTGTTTATACGTGACCCAAAGTTTGTTCGGTTATTAAACCACAGCCAATTTGCAGTGGCATTTACAATACGGAGAAGCCAGCTAAAGCCAAGGGAGAAGAGGCGTGTTGGATCAGGGAAGGGAGGGGACGAGAACCAATACAAATCGACCCAGCCTCGCGGGAGCTCCCACCCTGCTTCCCTGTCCGCGCACAAGGGGAGACTGACCTGGGGGTGCCCGGGAGGGTGGGGGGACCTGAACTCGTGTAGGGGCTGCGGAGTCGGAGCCTGCAGGGGTGGGAGAGGTTCGGGGTTGTTCTGCTGAAAGGTCTTAGCAAGTCCATTTTGCTGCAAATCCAACTTTACCATTAAAGCTGATATTTTGATCTTCATCTTTTTCACTTGTGTCTGCTTCTCAGTCGGTTCGGAAGTTGGAAAAGAAACAAGGGCTGTTTTGCGAGGTCACTAAAATTATGAGCACTGGACGGTCGGTAAGCGCTTAGTGTGTAGGGCTATCCGTGTGTATGCCTCATTGGGTACATTCATAAGCATGGCCTTGCACCTTTAATGGAAATTTAAGTTACACTGTATAATGTACTTAAGAAGACAGGTTTATGTAACACATCTTAGAATACAGCCCATCTAAAAGTTCTTATTCTAAGCAAGGAGAAATTCCTGATCACTCTGTAGAATGAAGCTAGAAACAACTTTAGGGATGATTCCATTATAGCAGAGGAGTAAAAAGATCTGATTTACACCTTTTGTTTAAAAGGTTCTATTCCCCATACTTTCTCTTTGATTGTTCTTCTCGACCTCACTTTATCATCGGCGTCATTTTTTTTGACATGTACACACGTTCTATGAGAACCAAACTAGTTTAGAAATGTTCCATGGCGATCCTGTGTTCCATCTACATCAACTGGGCTGGAAGACATTTTTCTTTTGCACAGACATGGTACAGGAAAGTACATATGACACAAAAACGGCGACATTATTTACTATGACAATAGGAATGTTAGAGCAAGAAAGCAGACATTAATTTTAAAAATCAGGACTCAACTAAATGGAAAAGGCAAACACCAATTTATAATCTAAAGCCCTCCCCCCGCCCCCAGAAACTAGGAGCATTATATTCAGAGCTGAGTTTGCCCTTAACTGCTTAGGAAACACTGTACTTTTGTTTTGTAATCTCAAGTGTTTATGACACTAGTAATTTAAAAGTCGTGGAGTCGTCAGAAGTGGGCTGCACTGTTAACACCTTGTCAAAACAGCACTGGAAATAAAGACTCACTTTTCTCTCAGTTCTGAGACTGTGGAAAGTGAAACTGAAGTTGTGTTTATAGTTATAAATCCTTTAATTAGAAAGTTGCAGTGCTGGGCTTCCCTGGTGGTGCAGTGGTTAAGAATCCCCCTGCCAATGCAGGGGACACGGGTTCGAGCCCTGGTCCGGGAAGATCCCACATGCTGCGGAGCAACTAAGCCCGTGCGCCACAACTACTGAGCCTGCGCTCTGGGGCCCGTGAGTCACAACTACTGAGCCTGTGAGCCACAACTACTGAAGCCCACACGCCTAGAGCCCGTGCTCCGCAACAAGAGAAGCCACTGCAATGAGAAGCCGGCACACTGCAAGGAAGAGTAGCCCCCGCTCGCTGCAACTAGAGAAAGCCCACGCACTGCAACGAAGACCCAACGCAGCCAAAAATAAATAATAAATAAATAATTACAAAAACCCCCGAAGTTGCAGTGCTGTTGGTCCCACCATGTCTTGTGCCATGTGGGGATGCTAATGCTAACAACTGGTAAACCACAAACCAAAACCAACACCCATGGCTCTGTGTGCCGAAGGGCATTTTACAGAGTGAGTGAGTGGCCTCTACAAAACCAACGTGCTCCTGGGTTCAGTGCGCCCCCCGGATGCAAACACACATCACACAGCCGACGGCGAGTGTAAGAGGCTGACTCCGTGAGGGCCCACCTGGTCCCTCACCTGTCCCGTCAGGTAAGCATGCCTGCTGGGCACCTGGGAGCCCCTGCCTACTCGTGGTGCGATTATGGTGGGTGACAAACCCCTTTGGACTTTAGTTTCTCCACTTGTCAAGCGAGCACCAGCCCATCTGCACAGGTATCAGGTAGACTGGTGCCGCGGATGGAATGAGACACAGGTCAAAGTTGTCTGAAGTGAAAACCGATGTGGAAATGCAGGGTCACAGTTTAGTTTAATTTTAACAGATACTGTGTGACCTTGTGACTTGTCTCATCGGAACCTTTTTTATCACCAGTAACTGGGGGAAAAGTAGTACCTACCTCAAAGAGTTATGAGGATTAAAGAAAGTAAGACAAACTGTGAAGTCTGTGAAAAATGTAGGTTGATTTTCATCGCTCATTGACTATATAAAGAAAGCATGGTTTTGTATAATTTATTCCTCTGACTACATATTGAAAATCAAATCAGCCTTAACGTCCCTTCAAAACTTGAAGATTTTCTTGTGAAACCTGACACACGTTGCATTAAAATGAAGAGAGCACTTACAGGTTTTACAGAGGAAAACCTCATGGAACTCTCGCGGCACCTCAGCAGGACCACGGCTACTCTCATGGGGAGTCAGATACCCACAGCTGATATTCCACACAGCAGTTCAATATTTCACTGTAGATCGACGCGTACAAGAAAGGGAAAGTCACAATGGTTCTGATGGAAATGAATCAGTCTAGTGGAATCAACACATTCTCCTGATAGTCCTTTGACTTTTGTGTCTAAGGTCCAGCTGCCACTTTGAGATCATGGAGTTTCATGGGAACACTTGCACTGGTACATTTTTCTTTCTGAGCTCCTTTCGAAAGCAGGTCCTACTTCCTTCCCATGCGCCAACTCAGCTTTACTTTGTCGAGTTGCTCCAGGTGTGAAGGCTTGAGGTCAGCACTCCGAAGCTCACCGAAACGAGGCAGGTAGCTCCGTGGAAGACGCCCCTGGTTTAGAGGCAGATGTGACTGTTCTCGTGGCATGTGGTACCCACGCCGGCCACAGACAGGTAAAGCTTCCCATCTGGACACGCACAGATTTCGTAGAGTCCCTGCAAGCTGCTTGCGGGACCCTGAGTCCCCTGAGCCAACTTGGGTAAACACATGGTTTCAGCGTCGAGCACAAGCTGCTTGGGAGAGAACGAGAGATGAAGTGGTCAAGGAGGAATGGACGCAACAAGCACGAAATTAAATGCTCAAATCGTTCCAAACAAATTCGCTCTTTCTCTGCAGAGAAAATGAAGTAGGCATCTGGCTTGACTGAAATCCTATTACAATTAATCTGATTCTTTAAAAGCCTATTTCTAGTTTACATCCAGGCAGGGGATAAACAGTCCTTAGGAACTGGAGGGAAGTCATTTTTTTCTTTTACTCATTGTGCTAGGCGAGCTAGAAAAATGTATGATGCGACACTTTTATGCGGACCTTTCAGAATTATTTGACCCAAATAATACAATTCTTTGCCTGATTCACATTTACCTTGTGTTCCACTTTGACCTTCAGCTTCTCCTCCCTATTAGGATAAAGTATTTGATACAGGCCACAGAAGTAGATTCATCTTAGTCATTTTAACCTGTGATTGTTGGAATTTCTCCTGATTTTATTTCCCTGTGAGAGGCAATTAAATTCATCCTAATAGCTGTCAACCATTTCCCCAGCTTTTAAAATACGATTTGAAACTCTACTGCCTTCTATGAAATGCAGGAAGGCAGTAGACACACAGACGACTAAAATAAGATGAAAGCCACTGGATGTTTTTGTTCCTATCGAGGTTTAGTTGAACTGAAATACAAACAAATGGCCATTTATTGAGATCTGGTGATCTGACAGCTTAAGGCAATAAGTGTGGTCACACAGAGCACCCAAGCCTGACCAGGGCACTCACTTATCAGAAGGAATTAAGCCCTGTTTGGGAAGGTTCCACGTTCTTCGTCGCCAACAAGGTCGGACCCCTCCTTTGTTTCACGTGGCTCTCATCCTGTATACTCCAAGCTCTAATAAACTGGCGTTTGCGTCTGTGTCCCCTCTCGGGATGCTGACCTCTTCATGGAAGCGGTGGGTGACAGTACACATGCGTGATAGGCAGGCTTTGCCCTGGGGTCTGGGTCACTGTCAGAGGAGGAAGTCAAGTGGGTCTTATTTTTTTAGAGCAGAACCTATTTAGGTTATTGTCTAATGCTTTGGGTTCTGCCCAGTTCTTTGCTTTTCCCTAACTTGCTGGCTTCTCCTCTCTCCTTTTTCCTGGTTAATTGGTTAATTTTTTTCTAGTTATTTTTTTTTCCTGTCCTTCCAGCAAACTCTGATCACTGATGGTCCATATACTGCTTTGTTGTTCATCTTCATTTGCCTTTTTGGGAGAATATTTTCTGGGAGGCCAGACATCTCTTCACTTTGAACTAGCTCCCAGTAATAAGGGGTATCAACTTCAAGTACGGGTCGGGCTGAGTGCTACTTGTAAAACGACACCCAATTCATGACAATAAGTAATATTATTTCAAAACTAAGATCACTATAGATTTTTTTCGAGGTAACACGCTTTCAGTACGTAGTGACATTATGATTTAGTAATAAGATTCCAAAATTCCTGGCTTCCACTTTTGCATTTACCTGCTCCATGCATCAAAACTTTGTAAGTTACAACCTGCAGGGGCTTCGCCTGATGACTTTGATTTCCCACCAGCGGGCTGCCCTCGAGGGTCCTGTGTACTCGGGAGCTGCCTTAACAACAGCTCCCTCTTACTATTAAATTAGTATCATTTCAAAGCTATCTTACTGCACTGGGGTCTCATAACCCTGTGACACGCTGATGTAAATACTAGTTCCCGTACTTGACCATTGAGGGGGTAGGCCCAGAGAGGCCTGTTAACGTCCCTGAATTCACACAGTAATTGGCAAATTCATCTCGCACTAGAAAGGTCAATAGTGGGGAGCCTGTACCCTGCTGCCCGTTACAGCCACAGTTCGTATCAGCGATGTTTTATTTCTGGACCTGAGGTTCCGGGTTTTTTCTTCCTGTAGCTCTTACTTTTCATATTTAATTTTCGCTTACCCAGAACTTGGTGCGAGCGAGCACCCCTGGCAGTAACAGATGACGGCTGTCACAGGTAACTCCTAGTGACAGCCCTACTGAGGGCAGTTGGATCCCCAGGAAGTGACAGCACTGATGTTCTCTGTAAGCTCTGAGAGTCTAGTACTTTTTCAAAGCTGACAATAACGAGAGACTTGACAGCACAAATACCAAACAAAGCAGTCTGGATCCAACACAGAATGATTTTAACCTTTCTTGGCCCTTCTTTCGGTGCTAAATTGTCTTCTCCTTCCTTTCACATTTTCTGTGCTATGCCTTTCATGACGTTTCTTTACAAACTACCATAAATTCACTATGCCGATGCCGTAACGGACGAGCGTGTCATTAGTGCTCAGGGGACGTGAGGCTTGTGCAACGGGAGGCCCACCCCGCCCCCATCTCTTGGACTCACTGTCCCGTCACTGCTGTGCAGAACGATGTCCATCTGGGAAAGGGCCTCAATTTTCCCTGCAGCAGCTTGAACATGAACGCCTTTCGGGGCGTCCATGCTGAGACTCCGTGTCGGGGATTCTAGTCTGAAATGAGGGAGAGAAACCAGGAAAAATAGCATAAGAAACAGCCACCCCAGGAATCCCCCAACCAAGGGCTTAGCATAGAAAATATAATCAGTAACGTATATGGTATTTTCACTCATTCTTGAATGCTAACATAGGGCACGTTACTCATTGATAAATCCAGAAATAAAGTGCAGTCAAGAATTTTAACTTCCCATCAATGGAGTCCATGAAATTAGCATCCTCTGAAGACAGATGCAAACACTAGACAGTCCTAGCCCTGTGCAGTAGCTTTGACGGCGTGGTTAGCACTCTGGCACACCACGGCAGAAGAAAATGCTATTGGTGAATATCTCTGGAAAACTATTTTTTAGCCAAAATACAAACTTCTTCGGGAAAAAGAGAAATTTAAGGGCAACGCGTACATTTGCTAACACGTTCACAAAATAGGATGTAAATCTGGACTCTAGGTGTTGTTTGCTTTTTTTGTTTTCATTTAGGAAGATTACAGGGCAGATGCAAAGATTTCTTTTGGAAAAATACTGAATTAATGGAGTTGACAGGGTGGAGACTGGCCTCCGCTGGCGTTGTTTTTGTAAAACGTCTCAGCATCTCCTTGGGACGTAGTCAAACACAGATACAGAACCAGGAACACAGGAGCAGAAAAATTCTCTTATTTGCCTCCGCCTGGAAAAGACTGAGTTTCCACCAGATGGCACAACGTGATCACTGGACAGGTTTTTCAGCTGCTCCAACCTGACTCAACCAAAAGCTGAAAGGGCGACTTCCTTGAAATGTGTAAAGATCCACAAGAAGGAGAACACAAGGTGGAGGGGGGCAGGAGACAGAAAGGGTGACGTTTAAGAGGAGAGAAGGGCCTGGTCATGAATTTGCTGCTGAACTGACTGACTGATCAACTTTTACAATTCTTTAAAATTGAAGTCGAGTTGACTTACAATGCTGTGTTAATTTCTGCTGTACAGCAAAGTGACTCAGTTATACATACATATATTATTTTTAATATTCCTTTCCATTATGGTTTATCATAGGATATTGAATATAGTTCCCTGTGCTAAACAGTAGGGCCTTGTTTTTATCCATTCTATATATAATAGTTTGCACCTGCTAATCTCAAACTCCCAATCCCCCTCCCCCACCCCCCCATCCCCCTTGGCAACCGCCAGTCTCTTCTCTATGTCTGTGAGGCTGTTTCTGTTTTGTAGATAAGTTCATTTGTGTCATATTTTAGATTCCACATACAAGTGATATCATATGGTTTTTGTCTTTCTTTGTCTGACTTACTTCACTTAGTATGATAATCTCTAGTTGCATCCATGTTGCTGCAAATGGCGTCATTTCATTCTTTTTTTAGGGCTGAGTAGTATTGATCGACTTCTAAATCACGTGGATTGTTCCCTTTGATCGGCAAGTTTCTTGTCTACCACTATTTGTTATGGAAAACAAAGCTTCCTTATGTACATCTCAGTATGTAAGACCTGATCTGTTACACATTTTAAAATATTACTTTGAGTGAGAGGAAACAGACATTCCTAGAATTTATTGGTCAAATTCTGTTGGGTTTAGGTGTTGGGGAAACACGCTGTATCTTCATGAGCCTGGTCTGCTGATCGCGGGCCCCTTCTGACTTTGCTAACTGCCTGCATTTCTCCTGCCAGAGAGAAAGAAAGGAGAGGGGAGGGAAGGCAGGGGAGGGAGGTGGATGGGTGAGCAACTGCACAGGTCGGGCCTGTTCCAGGGACCGTGGTGAGGGTGAGTCTGCTTCAAAGACCAGTTCTCAAACCGCAAACGACCTCAACAGGCCCTGTGACTAGCTGTTAACGGCATTATACTGCGATACTCCTGGGAGAGCAACCTTCGTCCCCTTTGCGTCATTTCTATCCTTGAAGATGAAACGTTTCAGTGCAGCACAGGTGTAGACACATTTTACCCAAACGGCTGAGATTAGAATGCTCTGAAGTGCACCTCTCTGTGAACGCGTTCAACAGTGGCCGGATATCAAAGACCTCACGTTCATGTGGGAAAATAAGCAACAGCAGACAGAAAGCGTGAAAGGGAAAAGCTGCAAGAGTGTGTGTATGTGTGTGTTTGTGTGTATGTGTGTGTGTATGTGTACATCTGTGTGTATGTATGTGTATGTGTGTTTATGTGTACATGTGTGTATGTGTGTGTGTATATGTGTACGTGTATGTGCGTATGTGTGTCTGTGTGTGGCTAGCCCTACCAGACACTGAAATATCTTTTAAAGTTTATTTAAATAACAAAGTTGGTACTTGGACCTGAATAGACAGCTGAGCAGGATAGAGTAGAAGCTGCGGAAACAGACCCAGATGCACAGGGAAATCTTATATACGATAAAGGTTGCATTTCAAATTGTGGCGGCAGCTACATAATAATGCAGTTGCTGGCACCTGGTTGGCCAGCTGGAAGAGAGAAAATTAGACCCACATTCTTGTATCTGTACCTCATACAAGAATAAACTCCAAGTGGATCAGCGATCCAAATGTAAGAGAGAAAGCCATACAAGAAACGTGGCTGGCGAGTTTCTCTTCCTGTAGGGAAAGTCTTTTAATTATGGCTTAAAATCCAGAAGTAAGAAAAGAAATGATTAATAAATTTCAGTATATAAACATTAAAAATTAATAGAAATATAATAGGAAAAAGGCTAATATTCTGAATATGTATATATTTTAATCCCTACAAATCCATTTTGAAAAGTAATTAAAGAAGCAAAGAGATGAAGAGTCAATTCACAGAAGAAGCAACCTTAATAATAAAATAAAAATATGAAAGATGCTTAACCACACTAGTCATCAGGGAAACAAACAGTAAAATAACACAATATAACACACATCAGATGAAAACTATCATAAACTCTGACAGTGCCGAATATTGGTAAAAACGTGAGGAAAGACCAACTCTTACTGCTCATGAATTAGACATCATTGCAAGCACTCTGAGGTGTATGTTGGCCAAGTTTGGTAAAACAGTTTGTTCAGGCCAAGTTAGTAAAACTGAGTATGTTCATCCCCGAAACCCACACATTCCAAAACTTGGTAGAACAGAAAACCAAGCAGTGCGCTTCATGGCTGTTCTAAAAGAATTTTGAAAAACGAGGCACCCATTACATATTTTAAGTTAACATCTAAATGTTTTATCATACATTTAAGTATCTGCAAAAGATGTAATTTCTTCCATATTATAAACATTGTTATTTTTTTAAATGAATCTAAAAATCATGGAGATTTGATACCTGCCAACCTAGAGTTGACGCCTGTGTTCCTTCTGACATACCCTCATTGTTTGGGTTTTTGAGCATTTCTTACTTATTGGCTATAAGATGCTCTAAATTCATCTATATTCCCAGTCCTAGAATGAGCCAAGGATTTCTCCAAAGAATCCTGATTCCTTTTGTTGGAGAACGGTATGAGAAGCCAAGTTCTGGCTGCCACTGATTTTAATTACTCAATCTCTCATTCCTAGAACTTCTTTTTGTTATTTTCCAAATATTCTGTTTTCATCTTGTCTTTGCCTTACCTTTGTATTCAAGTTTTTTTTTTTTTTTTTCTCTTCGAGCCTTTTATTCATACCTGTTTTAAAATCTCTTCGCTTTGCTCTACTACTTGGAGTTTCAGGGGTAACCTGAAGTGGCTGCTAATTCTTCTCCACGGTAGTTCAATTCCTTATTCATTTGCCTTTTTCTTCTTCTTTTAGTAAGCTCATCTTCAGCAAGATTTTTTTTTTCCATGAGTGTTTTTATGCCATTAATATCTTCAATGTAGTTTCTCTCTCTCTCTCTCTCTTTTTTTTTTTTTATCACTATTGGTTTATAGACTTGGTGCAATTTTTTTTTTTTTTTTTTTTCGGTACGCGGGCCTCTCACTGTTGTGGCCTCTCCCATTGCGGAGCACAGGCTCCGGACGCGCAGGCTCAGCGGCCATGGCTCACGGGCCCAGCCGCTCCGTGGCATGTGGGATCTTCCCGGACCGGGGCACGAACCCGTGTCCCCTGCATAGGCAGGCACACTCTCAACCACTGCACCACCAGGGAAGCCCTTGGTGCAGTTTTTAATGTTAATTTTCCAGCTTAGAGCTCCTGCACAATGAGGTAGTGTGGATTTAGTCCTCCTAATGCTTGCAACCCATGATTTCTCCTGGGTAACTTTTTCAACCCACAGCCCAAGATAGCAACTTTCTTGCAGCATCCTTGGGCTAGTAGGTAAATTGAAATACCTGTTTCACAGAGGCCAAGATTTATGAGATATCTCAGTTTGGGCATTTCATATACACTAGGCTATACGTTAGAATCTCAGTCCCCATAAAATATTAAAGTCCCAGCCCCTAATCGCTATGGGATCCTGATTTCTCCCTGAGTACCCTTGACTTAGCTTCTACTGTGCTCTGACCATGAATTTCCTCTTTATTACTGGGACCTGGGAACTAGCTTTCCTTGGTTTCTAGTTGAGCAATATTTATAAACTCTTATTAAGCAAACCAATATTTATAAGTGTTTGAAACAGGAACAGATATTTCCATGTCTGCTCATTTTACTTAACTAATGAGGACACATATATATTACTGACTATGTGCTAGGCATTGTTTCCACAAATTTACAAATAATAACATATTTAATCACGTCACATCCCTATTGAATTGCAGAGGTTTTGCCATTTACCCTACCGTATCCACATCTACTGATTGCTTAAGTTTCAGTTCACGTGCCTCCTTATCTGTGATTTCATCTCAGATCACCCTGAAGAATTCATGCTCTTTTTCTTATGCTCTCACTATAATTTGTACCTTCATCATAGCAAAGAATTATGTTGTTTTAACTTGTTTGTATGTTTCTTTTCTCAATAGACTTTAAACTCACTAAGGTCAGGGACCATGCCTTTTATCACTGTAGAACCAACATCTATCATAGCCTCTGGCATATAAATACACTTAATACATTTTCACTAAATTAAAAAAAAAGGTGGAATTATATCATGTGTGAATGAGAAGTAGCTTTAAAACAGTATGTCAGAGTTCACCCTTTTTTTGAGGATGATTTTGCCGTAAGAAATGTAAATCTAGCTTAAATACAAGTTAATTATATTTTTGTCTTAACTAAAATAATAATTGTTACCCTTTCATGACTACAATTTGAGCAAATACCAAAATTTGAATTGTGATATTTAAACGTGTATATTTCAGAGATCTTTTTATAAATGCCTCATGATCTTAACCCAACAAAATCCACATTCAAAGTTTTCATGGGTCAGTTATGATATTCCAGGAATATCTTTTTACTTTACTCAGGCCAGCAACAGTAATGCTACTGGACAGAAATAAAAAGGGAAAGACAGTTTACGGCAAGAACTTACAGAAGAAAATACGACTCTCGTGTACTCCATCAGTGGAGCCTGGTAGTAAATCAAAGAATAAATCAGTGACGGGTTCACTTGCATGGTAGGAAGAGGGAACAGAGGGTATATGGATGGGCTTGGGGTCAGAGCTGAAGTTAAGTCATGAGTTGGTTACATGGTTTTCCTTTGTGCCTTAGAACGCACTACTATCCAGACCTCAGCGTTCTCTTTTATAAGATGGGGATCGAATTGATGAGTAAACGAGACAAATTACGTGACCGCACCTTTCCTGACCGTGGGGTATTCAGTACATATTAGTTCACGTCTTCCATCCAAACCTCATTCCTTATTGTAAGCAATTCCTTACAATTTCGTTACATTCTCAATCACTTTTGTTGTAACATTTGGGTTATGTAACCCTTGCTTAGTATCACCCTTTAGAAAGCCAGAGAATAATACCCTTCTGCCATTTCTTTTTTAGTAAGGGACTGCTGTAGAAGCCAGCAGATTTATTTCCTAATGGGAAAACGTATGATGAATTGTTTAATTTTGAGACCTGTAATTTTAAAATAGTGACATTTATTTTAAAGAGTGGCTTGGCATCGCTACAATTTACATTATTTTATAATTCCAAAATGGTTTTAATGGGATTATTTTTTAAAGATATTGAATCATTTTCCTCTCCTAGGAAAATAAAATGTTCTTTTCCCCTAACTATAATAATTCTGTAATATTAATCTTATGGTCCTTTATCAAAATCAATGAAATTGTTATAATTTAATTGTCACAATGTATTTTTATGCTGCCAATGTTCTCTAAGTGGGTAAGATGAATTGAACTCTCATTTGCTTTTGATGAATATTTAATTAGACATTAAAATTAAGAGAAATGCTGAATTTCCTAACCCCAATTCCATTTTGTGTGAATATCTACTTGATAATAAAAATGATTATTTGTATTCCACTTTCAGTTTAGAAAAAATATTTTTAACTTAATAGCTTATTAAATCTTTCCTAGAACACTCTGAGATGTGCATTACTAACAACTTTTTTTAAAGATTTTTTTTCGATGTGGACCATTTTTAAAGTCTTTTATTGAATTTGTTGCAATATTGCTTCTGTTTTATGTTTTGGTTTTTTGGCTATGAGACATCCGTGGGGATCTTAGCTCCCTGACCAGGGATCAAACCCACACTCCCAGCATTGGAAGGCGAAGTCTTAACCACTGGACTGCCAGTGAAGTCCCTATCAACGTTTTATATATGAGAAAAAATAGCCTCAAAAGGTTAGTTTGGCCAAGGTCACCAGGCTTGTCTGTAAAGCTGGGATTCCTACTGTACATTATTCCCTATTATACGTAATATGTTAACATGTTAATTGTCTCCTGAATATTTTTCAAGTTCAAATTCTAAACGTGATTTTAAGTGACATTGTAAACTTTAAGACATTTGTTTTTAAAAATATTATTTGTTTGTGTTATAAAATACAAATATACTATTGGAATAAACAGTTACAGCAGCAAAGAACATTCAGTAGCCTAGTAATAAAGTGAAATACACACAGTCACACAGAGACTCTGTATAAAGAATAAACTTATATATGGAACTGGGTGATTTTATATATTCTGCTATGATGTAAAGCTATACCAAAGGTTGAGGATATTGTGCTAAGTGAAATAATCCAGTCACAGAAGGACAAATACTGTTTGATTCCACTTAAATGAGGTGCCCAGAGTCCTCAAACTCATAGAGACAGAGACTCGGATGGTGGTTTGCAGGGGTTGCGGGGAAATGGGGAGTTAGCGTTTAATGGGCACAGAGTTTCAGTTTTGCAAAATGTAAAGAATGCTGGAGATGGAGGCGGGGGCTGCACAACAATAAGCGTAGCTTAGACTTGTGAACGGTGCACTTGAAAGTGGCTAAGATGGCAAATTTTATATTATGTGCATTTTGCCACAATTGAGAAAAAGATATATCAACTCTTTTGCGTATACGAATCCGTCGAGCTCTCGGTTTTATAACATTCTTGTCTCTGCTAACAGTGCACATATTTAAAAAATGTAATGTAAACTGAGATTTTTAAGAACGCCTTTTGCAAATTTCAAGCCCATATAAGACACCGTCCTCTTTCCCTAAAACGTGCAGTGTTTGCCTCAGCTGATGCTCTCCAGGGAAGAACGAAGGGTCTGTGGACCACATGAACCGTAGCCCCATGCGTGGCATGTGACCTGAAGCGTGAGGACAAGCAGATATTCGTGGGGTCTCCAAGGGAAGGAGGGCACCCCAGTCAGGTGGGACAGCGTGTGTGGAAGTGTGGAGTCCGGGCCCGGCAGTGGCTCAGTCTCAGGACGGGTGAGGCAGGAGGCCCCAGGGTGCCAACCTAGAGAGCCCCAAGGAGTCTAGGTCACAAGCCAAGTGCCCCAGCAGCATTCTGGACTTTACTCTGGCTGATGTGGAATCAATGAGACATTTAAATTAGCTGCATGTACACCCCCATGTTCATAGCAGCATTATGCACAATAGCCAAGACATGGAAGCAACCTAAGTGTCCATCGACAGAGGAACAGATAAAGACGATGTGGTACCTGTAGACAATGGAATGTTACTCAGCCATAAAAAAGAATGAAATAATGCCATTTGCTGCTACTTGGATGGACACAGAGATTATCACACTAAGTGAAGTAAGTCAGAAAGAGAAAGACAAATACCATATAATATCACTTATATTTGGAATCTAAAATATACACAAATGAACTTATCTACGAAACTGAAACAGACTCACAGACATAGAGAACAGACTTGTGGTTGCCAAGGGGCAGGTAGGGTGGGGGAGGGATGGATTAGGAGGTTGGGATTAGCAGATGCAAACTATTATATAGAGAATGAATAGACAATAAGGTCCTACTGTATAGCACAGGGAACTGTACTCAATATCCTGTGATAAACCATAATGGAAAAGAAAAAAAATTCTTTTAAAGTGTGTAAAGTATAAATATGTTCTGAACTGTACACTTAAAAATGGTTAAGATGATAAATTTTATACGTGTATTTTACCACAATTTTAAAAAATCGGAAAAAATAAATAAAATAGCTGCATTTAGCCAAGTCCCTCAGATTTTCTGGAGGCAGGAATAGCTATTGGAACAGTACAGGCTGCACTGGGGCAGGGGCAGGGCTAGTAACGAGCTCAGAGACACAAGGACGGGACATACAGTAGGACGTCTAACCTCCTTTGGATTTTTGTAAGAAATGACTTGTTATGGGCAGAGGTTCATCAGAATAAAGACAACTAATGGAATAAGAAACAACCTGGTAATATCTGCTAACGTGTTATTCCAGCACATAACCAGGTATCTTCTGAAAGAGAGTTTGTTTATATTGGAACAAAATTCTTACCTAAGGTCCTGGACTGGGTCCGGTTTTATGAGGGGCGTCTCCACTGAATGTTCAAAGAGAGCCCCTTCAGGCCCTAAACACAAACCAAAGAGGAAGCTTTTACAAGAGTAGAATAAACAGCAGCCCACAAATCGAGCATTTACACTGCATATTACGGGACACGTAGGCTCTGATCGTTGCTGAATCCGTACAGATGTTTGAGTTGCAGGGAAAAAATAGGTATAACTGCTTTCCTGCTTTTCCAAGGATACCACGATTTCATTAGATGGCTATAAACAAAATATGATTTTTAAAGCAGTTACAAATACCCAGGCTTATTTTAAAACCAGAAAGCAATATTAGCCCTCAAATTGAAAGAAATTTCAGTTGAAAATTGCATTAAGTCCATATATTTTCGGTAACAGTAATTTGATCCATTCTCTAGATTTTATGTGTAAAAATTGTATCTTGTGTCATCTGTTTCTTAAGGCACATCAGGAAATTTATAGAAAAATCCAGATTTTGAATATTTAAAATTGACTCTCTAATTTGTACGAATCAGTATGTTCCCAGTTGTCTGGTTAGTCTGAGAACCTAATTATGTGCAAGGCACGGTGTGGGTATTGGGTTAGGGTGCAGAGATTCGAAGGTGATATATCCTAACTTGCTTAGTACTCAGAACCCTACAAGGCAGGGATATTTTCCCATTTTACTGAAGAGGAAACGGAGGAACAGAAAGGTTAATTAACTTGCCTAGAGTTACACAGCTAAGTGGCCGGACTGTGATTTGACTTCAAAGCCCACACTTTTAACCTATGCGCAGCAGGGTTATTCACAGATTAGTGCTCATCATGATTTACCTAGGTCCTTCTGCCTGGCCTAGACCACACCCCGGTCTTGGGCTCCACCCGTCAGTACAAAGTGAACTTTCAAAATTACAAACCAGGGCTTCTCTGGTGGCGCAGTGGCTGAGAGTCTGCCTGCTGATGCAGGGGACACGGGTTCGTGCCCCAGTCCGGGAAGATCCCATATGCCACGGAGCGGCTGGGCCCGTGAGCCATGGCCGCTGAGCCTGCGCGTCCGGAGCCTGTGCTCCGCAACGGGAGAGGCCACAACAGTGAGAGGCCCGTGTACCGCAAAAAAAAAAAAGAAACGCAAGCAATTTAATATGAGAAAAATTTAGGCTGGAAGGACAACTTAAGGGGCACAGACCCCCTGAGGCCATCAAGGTCCTCTTATGGAAGTTTGGAGAAGTCACTGCACAAGGAAGTGACCCTTGGAATTGATGGGACCATTCACCACCACTGAAAGGGGAAAGTCAGGAGAGAAGCAGAGCTGGAGGAAAACACCGAATGAATCAGCCTGGAGACCTCCTGTGGGATCATGTGTGTCCTTAGAGTTGAAGCCAGTTTTAATTGGGCCTTTTGTTCCTTTCAGCTGAAGGGCTGTTAACCGATGGAGCAGGTCATCAACTGTCCACAGAGCTGCATGACTGGGTCCGGAGCTGGATGTGTTGAGCGTGTGCTTGAAGGGTGTGGTCCTCTCTGAGCAGCTGCTAGAGATCCGTCTTCACATCTGTAAGGGACATGGACTCCCCCGCTGTGTTTACCTTCACTTCTTCAGTGGCTGAAACCTTACTTTCCAGGTCCTCTTTTGTGGGTGGCTTTGTGGGTGCCTCCAGGATGTCTACGTCGTCACTTGTGACACATGCAATCCCGTTCAGCTAATCAGAGAAGGATGAAGGGATTGAACTGCCTTATTGCTAGATTGTGTCTTTCCCCTTAGTGATGAGACTGGATACTCTTACAGGGCCCTGTTTTCCTTCCTAAATGTTGGGGAATGGACCCCGCCCAGCGAATCACTGCCAAGGAACCGAAGTACCCAACCGTGCATCATCTTCCAGAAGCCAGTTCTGGCGACGGGATAAAATATTTTTTTGAAGATGACATTTTGATGCTGCCCCAATACCATGTTCTGCGACTGGGGTTAGTAAAGGAGACATGCTGATTTTGGTCACTTGGTGACAATTCTATTTTTAGGGGGAAAAATGAGACTGCTGAAGGCCGAGATCAATTTCAAACTGGGGTGGTGAAATTGTTTAATCTCCTCCATGAATTTGATTTAAAAATGATTTTTCAGTTTCCCCGTTGACTAGAGTATATACGGCAGCTGTTTAAGAACGGACGAGGGATTTCACGTTACTCTTTGAGTTCTTGAGACAAAGGCAACGGCAAGAAAGCACTTCTTGATGTGTGTTCAGGTCAGGATGTCCTGCAACTCGGGAATCTGGAGGGGCCGCCTTAAAGAAAGACCACTGAGTCCCTCCCCTTATGCCCCACGCTCAGGGCAAGTGGCCACAGGGAAGAGTGTATAGCCAAGCATTGAATTCTCTTTCTCTGCCCCCAGATGACCTGGTTCTCTGTCGCTTCTCACTCCTCTTTGCTTGGCTGTCAACTGCTGCTGCTTTTGCTGATCCAAGAAACTCCAAAGGCTACTTGAAATCAATCCATTTAACACAGAGATCAAACTTTTATAGTACGTAGTGGAGAAAAGCTTGAATGGGAATTTACTTGGAAAAATTAACGTTTATAAAAATATTCTTCTCGTATTTTACATATTTAACGAAATTGTAGCAACTATGTAGCAACTATGTAGCATATGTAACGAAATTGTAGCAACTATGTAACGAATTGTAGCAACTATGTAACGAAATTGTAGCAACCATCATTGTAGCAACTATGGAGTCGTATGACATAAAGAATAAATCAAGTTTTGTTTTTTGGTGCAATTTTCCCAACACAGTTGGAATTATATGATGGCTGTGGTAGTTTTCTAATTCTGTGTAAAGCCTTTGGGTTACACCAATTGGAAAGAGATAAAAGGAAACAATATGGTGGGGAAAAAAAAGTGGGTAAAGATTTGTGAGGAAGATTTCATTCTTCTAAGAGAGTGTCAAAGAATTTCAAAAGAAATGCCATGAAGAAAAGTCAACAAATTCAAACTACAGTAACTTTTTCTTATCGGCCTGAAATATTCCACAGTAAACTTGCCAAAACTGCAATTTGCTTTTGCGGAAGTGCCCTCCATGCGATACTGTTTTTCTTAAGAGTTACTACAGATGAATGGATACAGAAGATGTGGTATATACACAATGGAATATTATTCAGCCAGAAAAAGAAGGAAATCCTGCCCTTTGCCACAACATGGATGGACCTCGAGGGAATTATGCTCAGTGAAAAAAGTCAGAGAAAGATAAGTACTATATGATCTCACTGATACGTAGAATCTAAAAAACAAACAACAAAACAAAAACAACTCACAGACACAGAGAACAGACTGATGGTTGCAAGAAGTGAGTGTTGGGAGGTGGACAAAATGGGTGGAGGTGGTCAAAGGTACAAACTTCCAGTTATAAGACAAATAAGTCGCAGGGATGTGATATACAGCATGGCGACTACAGGTACCACGTATTTGTGTATTTGCAAGTTGCTAAGAAAGTAGATCTTAAAAGCTCTCGTCACAAGAAAGAAGTTTTAAGTATGTGTGGTGATGGACTTATTGTGGGGATTAGACTTATTGTTAATTAGACTTATTGTTAATTATCGTTAATTAGACTTACTGTGGGGATCGTGTCACAATATATACAAATATTGAACGCTTATGTTGTACACCTGAAACTAATGTTGTTTGTCAATTATTCCTTAATTAAAAATAAAGAGCTACTACATACCAGTTACTCGAAGTTTATCTGTACCAACCACAACTGCCTTTTCATCAACAGTAAACAGTGGCTTGCTGTCCTTGGAGTTGATCTGAAACTGCTGACTCTGGACCTCTACCATTTTGGGACCTAAAGAACGAATTGAAGCATTTTAGTATAAAGTGTGTAGTCTCTGCAGTGTTACACATGCCATGGCACCCAGCAGTACCAAATCACTAAACATTTAAGATTTGTTACCAGTAATTTTTTTGATTCTGTGATTAAATGTTAAGTCCTAAGCCAAAATCTATTATATTATTAAAATTAATGTAGGTCACATGTATGTTGATCTATATCAAATATACGTATGAATGGATTATATAAAAATTAATTTTTTCAGGTTTTTAAAACTTGCCAAAAATAATATGATTCTTCTACGCAGATTACTGAAATTGGTATTCTTTTGAGTATTAACCAACTGAGGGTTTTATATTCTGAAATGTGAGATTTGTGAAAGACCATCTTATGAATGGCTTCCTTCAATGGCCAAAGTTAACGCAGACAATGATTGAGTCACACTCAGATTCTTGCCTCTGCCCTAATCCTCACCTCCTACTTCATGGAGCAAACAGACATCACCACGGAAACACACCCTCAAGTTTCTGCCCTTCACCTTCATCTCAGCCATTTCTGTCTTCTCCAGCCCTTCTTTCTATTTCAGGGACAGGGCATCACTTTCTCCTCCAAGCTTACTCCTTTCACATGAACTTTTTCTGTTTGTTTGTTCGTTTTTGCTATACAGCAGGTTCTTATCAGTTATCTACCTTATACATATTAGTGTATATACGCCAATCCCAATCTCTGACCCACTGGCTTTTAAATTACGACTGTACTCAGCACATGTTTAATGTGTGCTTCTGTGTGCCAGGCACTGGGGACGCTGTACCTTCAGCGTGTGAGATCTTGTTCAATGTCTCTCATTGGTACAGTTGGGTATCCATCATTTTATGTTTTCTGATTTCTCTGTGTTTCCTGTCCTTCTAACCTTAGCAGCATAGCGTTCAGCATTTGCTTAAGGAACTACAAGTGTTCCTTCATTCTTTTGTTAGTTCTATTTTCTTATCTAGAAAAGTAAGTTTATTGTGAAATGGATACTTGTAGATTTCGTGTATGTGTCCCTGTGTCTCTCACAGTACTCATTCAAGTTGACTGGTACCTGCTAGAAATTAAATAGAAGCTTTTCAACGAATACATTAATCAGTTTTGGATACTGTCAGCAACATATTCTTATGTTTTTTCACTAATTTGTACCTCAGAACCCTCCAAAGATTCTTCATTTAAATGTGCATGTGTTCACATGTTACAAAGTGGAACACATTTTTTTCTCTCTGTTTTATCTCCTTTCTCTTAAGGAAGCCTGGCTTTATTTTGTGATAGTTGCCTGTATTTTTGCTCTCCTGAGCTTTCACCCAAACTCAGTTATCCTGTGATTCGGTGTCACTATTCACCTCTTCTGGGTCACTGATCTATCTTACATATTTATCATACAAACACTGATTTGCATTAAGTGATGAATTTGAAGTTGAGTTTAGAATCAAGAGGAAAAAACTGGAGTAATTTATCCAATAAGAGTTCACTGTTTAGCTTATTGGACGTTCATATAACAATTTGAGGAGAATTTATCAAGTGAAAGTGGTTAAACTAAATGACATTTTTTCTGTAGCCATTGTTTCATATACATTGATGAAATATTCAACAAATGAGTTTAGTTGCATAATTTTCATGAGTAACAAAGCTACATAAATCCTCAAATCAAAGAAAATTCAGGAAAGTGAGTCTCTTCCATTCAGCACAAATTTATTGTATGCTTTTATGTTCAAGGTTTCGTGCTAAGAATTGAGGCTACATAAAAGAGGAGATGCAGTTCACAACTTATAGGATTTCATAGTCTACTGAAGAAAAAAGCATGTAAGTCCAGTCCCAGGGCAATCTGATAAGTGCCGTGATACAACCATGGACAGTGTCCAGTGAGAACCCTGACAAGGAATTCCTGTCCCTCTTGGGGGGTCAAGGATGACACCTCAGGGAAGGGGATGTCTGGGCTGACCTGGAAGAGTTCATGCTTCCCTGATGAAGGGAGAATGCGAGATTCCAGGTAGAGGGGGTACCCAAACAAACGCACAGAGGCGGATAAAATTCCATCTTCACTTTATAAAAAATATAGACATAGAATGTTCAGTTTAAATATGTTTTCCACTTCAAAAGAAACTGTGCTCCAAGTGATAACAAGCCCACCACAGGAATAATCATCTCTTAAAGTAAGTGAGTTTATAATTAAATCTTTTAACTTTCATTAATATTCTACTAGTCTTTATAACCTTGCTGGACATGCATTAGAGCTGAGTAAGTCACCCTCATGTGCAGCAGAGTTCTTTAAGAAATAAAACTCAGGGCTTCTCTGGTGGCGCAGTGGTTGAGAGTCCACCTGCCGATGCGGGGGACACGGGTTCGTGCCCCAGTCCGGGAAGATCCCACATGCCGCGGAGCAGCTGGGCCCGTGGGCCATGGCCGCTGGGCCTGCGCGTCCAGAGCCTGTGCTCCGCGACGAGAGGGGCCGCAGCGGTGAGAGGCCCGTGTACCGCAAAAAAAAAAAAAACAAACAACAACAACAACAAAAACAAATGTCACAGAGTCCTTTGAGAAAAGGAAAGATTTATTCTGCTGCTGCAAATATCGTATCACAGAAGATGCTGGACTGGAAGTATAAAACTGCGGTTAAGTTCATTCTACTAATGCTTTGGTATCATCTTGTGTTACTAGGTTCACCTTTATAAGCCTGGAGTCAGTGACTCTTATCTGTATAGCTTGACTCTGTTCTTTAGGCTAGTCTGTTACATCCAAGCACATGAGTTCATGGACCTATAATAACCAGGAAAGGGCTCCAGTGCTGTTCACAGCAATTGCCTTGGAGGAACCCACTGTTTTTTAAAACTTTATTTTATTGAAGTGTAGTTGATTTACGATGTTGTATTAATTTCTGCTGTACAGCAAGGTGATTCAGTTATAAATATATTCTTTTTCATATTCTTTTCCATTATGGTTTATCACAGGATATTGAGTATAGTTCCCTGCGTTATATAGTAGGACTTGTTTATTCATCCTATATATACTAGTTTGCATCTGCTAATCCCAAATTCCCAATCCACCCCTCCCCCACCCCCTCGGCAACCACAGTCTGTTCTCTATGTCTGTGAGTCTGTTTCTGTTTCATAGATAAGTTCATTTGTGTCATATTTTAGATTCCACATATAAGTGATATCATATATTTGTCTTTCTCTGTCTTACTTCACTTAGTATGATAATCTCTAGCTCCATCCATGTTGCTGCAAATGGCATTATTTCCTTCTTTTTCATGACTGAGTAGTATTCCACTGTATATATACACAATGTATATATATATTATGTGTGTGTGTGTGTGTGTATACCACATCTTCTTTATTCATTCATCTGTCTATAGACACAGGTTGTTTCTATGTTTTGACTGTTGTGAACAGTGATGCTAACCCCTTGTTTTTTACTCCTTTCTTTGTTAAATTTCTCTCTTCTGTTTTACCTGAGAAATTTTGAGTTTGTTTCCCACTTATGACCCCAAATCCCTCAAAGCTGTGGCTCAGGCTTATACTTGAACCCTTGTCCACTCTGGAGCACCCTGGACAGGCCATCTTCCCGCACCCCATCTCCTAGAACTCTCTCCCACACTTAAGCTGGCTTTCCAGCCCATCCCTTCCTACACAGTCTTTTATTCATTCCTCCATTCATTCATTCAACAAGTATTTATTGAATATCTCCTAAATATATGAGTGGCCTGAATTAAGAACTGTGTCATTGACTGAATGGAATAACCTAACTCCAATTTTTGAGTATTACATAATCAAATTATTGTGTGTGTGTGTGTGTGTATATATATATATAATATGCAATAATATTATTGTATATTGTATTTACAATAAATATATTTATAATATAATTTTATAATTATATTTATAATTATATATATTCCTTGGACTATTATGTAGCCATTAAAATAATGCCATTGAAATGGAAGAAATTAAAAAAACAAAAAGAGAGTACTATGTAGACTTCTATGCAAATAAAGTTGAAAACCTAGATGAAACAGAAAATTTCAGGCAAATAGGAATTGCCAAAATTGACCCCATTCAGCTAAAAAGTCTTATTTTGAAGCTAACCAGAATTGGTTTCTATTATTCGAAGTCAAGAGAACATTAACTGTAGTAACCAGAGCTGCATTTACAACTAGAAGGTTCCACTGTCGTTCACAATTTGTTGTCTTTTAGTTCCAGGATTTGAAATGCTAGCTGCTGATGCTTGCTTTCCCATGTTTGATTCCTTTTGGAATTTAAGACTTTTGGCTTTGATTGTATTGGTTGTCAATTTTTTCAGTGGTCTTAGTAATAAACAATTATTCATTTAATTAAATGGGATTACTTTGTCTAGTTCACATAAATCACATTTTAATATCCAGATTGGCTAAATTTAACTTCTCCCAGGAAGTGTGAGGCTGGGATGAGTGTGACTGTGGGAAGTCATTTACTGAAAATCGTCTTGGATTTGGTGAGCTGAATATTTCCGAGTTCAGGATTCTCAGTATAGCAGAGGCTTTCCAACCAAAGGTTTAACAGAAATCACTTATTTTAACTCTACCTCAGGTATGAAACACTAAGGTTAAAACTCAAAATTTGAGGTTAACAGTTTAAAGTAATTCTGATGGGAAACTTTTTTTTAAACGTGAATTCCTTGGTGACAAAAACAACACCATATTTGCAGCAACTAGGACAGTTCCCGGTGTGCCATGATTTAATGAAATCTGAGTAGAGAGGGAGGGTGGTGGAAACACCCCTGTTGGAGAAGCAAGTCCTAAGGTGACTCCTGGTTTGGCTTCTCTACTAACTAGCTGTGTGTTTTTGAGAAAATTAGCTTTTCAGTGCTTCCATTATTTCATCCACGAAAGTGGAGACAGATTTATGTTATCTTTAACTCCTCTATATATGAAAATCCACACTTAGCAAAAAATTAAATGTGAAAATGAGTATTTGTGTTAAATCATTTTCAGAAGAATATAAAATGAATCTTTTACTTTTAGAACTCCTAAAAAATAATTACACACTCTAAATGTTATTAATTACTTGACAGCATATAGAAAGTAGCACATAGGCATTCAATAAATGTTTGTTGAATGAATGCAGGCCTCTCACTGCTGTGGCCTCTCCCGTTGCGGAGCACAGGCTCCGGACGCGCAGGCTCAGTGGCCATGGCTCACGGGCCCAGCCGCTCCACAGCATGTGGGATCCTCCCGGACCGGGGCACGAACCCGTGTCCCCTGCATCGGCAGGCAGACTCTCAACCACTGCACCACCAGGGAAGCCCTCCCTCAAACATTTAAAAGCTACAGTCAGTTAAAAATTTTTAAGAAATTTAAGAAATGGTAGACACAATTCATAATACAACATAATTTATAAAGAAATATGATTTGGTTTAGACAAGTATCATGAACATGTATGCTGTGTAAGCTCAGGTTCATCTCTAGATTTATTGAGAATTTCACTGGACTTGGTGATAAAACAAGCTTCTAAGCAAAAGAGAAATACAATTTATCATTTAGAAAAAGTTATAAAGATTAAATCAGAACACAGGCTATGGAACTCATGTATTACTGTAATAAAAGGAATCATAAAGTTAAGATATGGCTGTACCTTCCAATGTAACATTATTGTTCTGTAACAACAGCCATTAAAAAAGGGGGACACGGAAAGCTACCTGCCTGTGTTGGTAGTACACTTGTCAGCTATTTCCCCATAATCTGGAGAGCCATCCAATTTCTTAGATTTAGCAAATCTATAAAGTGTTGATGGTGTAGAGAAGGTATATTCCTTTCACCAGCTGTTTGCTCTTTTGTTATTTCTTCCATCGATATTCTTTCTTTCTAATCCTTTTGCTCTCTGCGCTCAATTCCAAAGGACCTCTCTCCCACGTGACCATATTCTTTGGTCTTAGCTGATCGGATGGGTGTACGTGGCTCAGCTAAGGGCAGTTGGTTGAACAGAGTAATTGGGCCAATTAGAGTACTTTGCTGTGAATTGAGAATTCATGACACTGAAGACCAAGTTGGCTGGTGTTGAGAACTATAGCCAATCGGATGAAGAACCAGAGAGTCCTGTAGAGTTAGAACTGGTGCAACCATGCTACCAAGTGAAAATCATGGACAGAGATTCATGGAAAGGAGGGGAACATGGTAGAGAGAAGGAGAAAGGGAGGGGGAGAGAGGGAGAGAGAGGATGAATACTTTGATTCTCCAGCCCTGGTCTTTCTTTTCTTGAGGGCAGCTACTTTGTTTCCTTTCCTCAGTCTCTGTGAGATTATTTTGTATCCTGCCAACAATCATTGTTTCTTGTACTACCTTAAATGGTCCTCTTATTTCTTGGAACCAAAATAACTTCACTTAAAATACTTCAGACTGTCCTCCCACCACCTGAACTAGTCTCCGTGGTCCACACAGCATGATATTTAGAAAACTCATACTTTGATTGCTCATAAATAACTTTGAATTCTCTAGAAGAAAAAAGAAACAAATGGATCCATTCAGCACAACTGTTCATGGACCACACACACGCAAAGCACTGTTATGAAGCTGGACTCACCCACTTTTAACCTGCCTGTAACTTCTCCTTCCGGGTTGCGTGCACTTACAGTCACATTCTGTGTGGACTGCAGAAGCAGAGATGAGTCCTAAAAACAGATTTACAATGTTAGCCAAATACAGACTATTTAAAATGACTAGACCTTTGAATTTGTATATAAATTGAGGATTTACACAAAAGAATTTCCCCCATGTCATAGATCCTGTGAACCTATCAATTTGCGGCTAAAACTATTTTTTAAACTTGGATTATGTTGTGTGAAGCGGGTAAATGCATTATTTTTTTCCCCCACAAAATATGATAACCTCCTGGGTTTACAGAGCCTGTGTGCACTGGTTACAATGGACCAAGTCCGTTCTCAAGGTGAAGAGCTGAAACAATGAAGTTTTAATCAGTGTTTTGTCTTTTCCAAGGAATTAAAATTTCATTTCTCATAATTTATGTCCAGGACATGATATATGTTTAAAAGGTAAATCAGAGAGCAGTTAGCTCTTCTATAAATAAATACCATATTATCTTCAAAACGCCAAAGGCTTCTCACAATTTCAAAAGAGCTTTTAAAATCTGTTGGATGCCTACGTTTTTAGAGCTTTTTGTTGGAAGATACAGTGGCTTTATGAGCACGTAAGTGGGGTCACAGTCTGAGCGGAGGCTTTGTCTCACAGAAGATTGCTGGCTCTTCTGTAACAGTTTTCTTCAAAAGGAACGCAGTAATTTGGCTACTGGATTCAGGCGGGTTTATGCCACTCAGAGGGAACCAAATATCTTCCCAAGTTGGGGGGTATAATACGATTTTTCAGAAGGAAAGAAGTTTCAGGAGTGCTTTGGAACGCTAGCAGGTCAGAAATTCTCCAACTTGCTTTGTGGAAGCAGATGGATTTGCCATTGTCTCACCTTTCATCCAATGGCGTGACCTTACTACTTGTCTTTGCTGTGTTTTGAAATAACCAGCAGGATAATAAGAGCTAAAAATTCACCAGCGATTTTTACCATCCAGCCTCTCCTTTCATCTCCACACTTTGAAGGAGGTAGCATTACTCCTCACATACAGATGAGGAAATTGAGCTCAAAGAGATTAAATGACGGCTCTCCCAAAGTAACAGCCAGCAAGGGACAGTTCCATGACGGAACCGTCTTCAGGCGCCAACTTCCAGGCTCTTTTTTTTTTTTTTTTTTTATCATTTTCCCTGAAAGGGAGGACATGGCCCAGGTCAGAGCTGTGAGGCCCACTCCCGGGCCTAGACAATAAGTTGTCCCAGGAACCACTCTGGTCGTCTGATCCAATGGATTCTCTCCAACACTATTCTTTTTCTGGCTTCCACCGCAGGGGCTGCAAAGGCTAAATGCTTTCTCAGCCTGTCCTGCAGGGAGGGAGACCCAAGTGATACAATTCCGGTCAATGAGATGTAAGCAGAAATCCGCTGGGGCGGGGCTGGGGGTTTCCAGGCAAGGTTTTGGGTGTGACCATGGCGGTCGCTCGCTAGGGCCCACCCAAGGCATGTGGCCAGGGAAACATGCAGTGTTGACGCGTGCACACCTTTCATCAGAAAAGCAAACTTTCTGTGTTTCACCATTATTTATTTCTCATGAAACACAAATTATTTAAATGTGTCCTCATCTGCTTACCACTCTGGAGTGTATTTCTTTGGCATACAGTGGGAATAAAAACTCCGATTCCCCCTCCAGGCGAAGTCCATCTTCTGTAACATGCAGGTGACCCATCCCTGTCTGTTAAAAAGAGATTTGTTTTTGCTTTCTTCTTCACTTCTTTTAGTATCAACTTAAATCATGTATGCCTTTTCATAGATTTCCTATCCGCACTTTACTGTATTTCTCTTAAACACTTTATTTAAAACTTTAGTGGTTTTTATTCAATATTCAGTATTTTATTACGTCTTGTGTAAATACAAAGGACTATTTAGGAAATGCATATAAGATTTAAATAATCACTTTATAAGAACATGCAAGAGCCCACCAACATGTCAGAAAAAAAAAATCTTACCATTACTATTTAAAATTTTTTAAAAATTAAGATGCCATAAAATGGACTCTTCAGGCTTATAGCTCTATGAGTTTTAACATACGTACAGATTCGGGCAGCCACCAGCACAACCAGGATACAGCACTGCAATGAAAACCAACACGCTACAGTTCACAGTGAAATTATTTAAAAAAGGTAAAAGAGAAAAGTGAATGTTATATTATTTTTTGCTACTGAAAATTCTGATCCAGACAGGAAACCAACATTAACTGCATGAAAGGAAGCTTCTGTTGATACAATGTGGATGAAGTGACCGCACAAACAAAACAAGAACATGTTTATCAGGAAAAAAAATACTTACTGGGGAAAACCACATCACTTTAAGAATCCAAATTGTAAGAGCAAGATTCACAAGGAGGATGATGAGCAAAAGAAGAACAAATAAGTAGAGGCAACGCTTTCTCCAGCCATAGATGCCGATTTTGTAGACAGACTGGTTCTCTGGCCGCTCTATGTGGGTGCCTTCTGTGGTCGTGGTGTATTGTTCACGTACCATCTGCCACCGGGTGGGGGGCAAGGGAGGTGGGGTGAAGGGAGGGGGGAGGGGGGAGGAGGGTAGAGGGAGAGAGGGAGAGACACATGGCCAGAAAGAGGATTTGTTTGTCAATATTGATTGACCATTAGTCCCACAAAATACTTTTTACCCCAACAACAAATTTCCCAAATTAGTGATGTTTAAAATGAGCATTGGCTATTACTTTGAAACATGTCACTGTATTTCAACCACAGCGATAATCTGTCATGCAATGTATTTAGATATGACAAATGCATTTGAAATCCAGTGATTATATTTTCAGATTTTGATCAATAAAATCAATACATATACAGCTTTCAAAATTCTGCAAGATTAAGCTTGCAATTGAAGCACCAACCTACAACAATCCAGTTATCACATTCTTAAAAGATTCAGTGGGAGGAAAATCAAGCTGGTACCCAAGAGCCTTCTGAAGAAAAAATCCAATTACTCAATTTTGTGCCAAATGATTAAATTACATCTTCCTTCAGCTACTAAATTATTCAGAATTAAAAAGGCTCTTTTCAAGATACCTACCACACCAACTCTGGCCTATAATTAAGCTCCCAAGTACTGACCTAGTTCAAGAAAGATCAAAATGTGCACGTGTACAAATGTTTACAAACATTCCCTGTTTTATGTAAATGAGGTTAAGAGTTTTAGTAACAATTTCAACTCTATGAAGAGATTTTTAAAAGTTGCTCAATTTTCCCCTTTCCACAAAGAAAAAAAGAACATGGTTTTAACTGTTTAAATTAAGATTAGAAATTATGATGACTTTTCTGATTGTAAATGTAGCAAAATGATGAATCATATAAAATATTCTCCTCTGAGGTTTTTTATGCATTTATTTTTAGGAGTGATTTGGAGCTGTCCTTATTTAAAATGTTATGGTCAAAATAATTCTATAAATTTCTTTCCAACCAAACAACAGGCATCTCCCCGTGTTCTAGCTGATTGTATAAAATGGTGCTATTCATCGCTCAGTATTTTCAAACACTCAGGACTGACAATCTGCATTATTCAAAACCTAAGGGGTTAACAATTTCATGAGGGCATTCTTCGCTCACTCGCCTTTGACCCCTCCAGTCTTTTTTTGGATTAGAAAGTCCATCACCACCCACACAGCCCCACATCAGCTCTGCCTTCAACCTGCATCCCAAATCTGTCTACTTCTCTCCACTGCCACGGCTACCGCGCTGGTGCCAGCCACTGCGAACTGTCATCTGCACCACTGCAAACCTGCTTCCCTTCCTTCCCCTCTGGAAACCCCTCTCTACCCACAAGCAGACATGTGAAGTGTAAGTCAGCGCCTGTCACTCTACAGTTTCACACCTTCCCGTGATTCTTCCCCACTGAGAACATCCAACCTCCTCCATCACCTCCCAGACCCTACGTGAGAGCCTTTGCTCACCTCTTCATCTGCAGCTGTTGGTCTTTTGCTCACAGCGCCCCATTCACTCTTTATCAGCCCAGGTGAACCCTCAGGTCAGGACTCACTCCTGGGCATCCCTTCCACCTGAAACCCTCTGCCAGCTCCCTCCTCAGCTTCAGACCTGCTCACATGACACCTTCTCAAAGAAGTCTTCCCCAGACACCCACTCACTCCCAACACAGCCCTCTGTTATATTTATTTCAAAGCACTTGTCATCTAAATAATGGTGGCAAAACCACACTTTCTGTACAAGATAGGCTAAGAGTCTGCGATTGGATCGGGAAGGGTGGCCAGAGAATCTGAATTTAAAGCAAGTGCATTAATTTACAGTATTGCTGCAGATCGATAAAAACAGCAGTTTTCTAAGTGTGTGTGTACACACATGCACATGCGCGCACGCACACGTATGGTTTCCACTTGCTACATATTTCTGTTCCTATCTAGAGCTTCCTATTGCTGGTGTAAAGCTATCACAAACCTAGCTTAACCCAACATAATTTTATTATTTTATAGTTTTGGAGGTCAGAAGTATGAAAATGGGTCTTTCGGGGCTAAAAATCAAAGTGTGAACAGGGCTGCTTGAGCGGCAGGCACCTGGGCCTGAGTTTGGGTAACAAAGCCACGTTTTATCATTGCCCCCCTTAACTCTTTTGGTTAACCTGCCATTTACCAGTGTTAGATGTGTTGCACTGAACAAGGATCTTACTCTAGACAGGCATGATTTAAAATGATGAGGCAGAACACTCAACTCCAGTTTTTTTTTTCTAAAAAGTGGACGTTGTTATTTTAATAAATTATTAGCTTATATTCTAACGGTGACTCATGGTGGCTTCCATTTTTATTTGACACTGTATATTCAATTTTTTCTGTTACAGACTTTCAGAGGCTATCAGGTTCAGCTAGCTTCCTTCAGATATGTGTTAAAATTAGCATTGGAAAGGACACCAGTTCTTTATCACTTCGAGGTCAGATAACTGTAAAGTATTAGTATTCATGCTGGCAAGAAACTGCTCTGGAACAACGCATTATGCTTTAAGATCTACTTATAGACCCTTTACAAAAAATTAATAAGATAACATTTTATGTTAGAACTTAAAAATCTATACTCCAAGGTAAATAATTTTGAGTTTTACTACATCTTGAGCAAAAATTATTTTCATAGGCTCCTTTATTTCAAAAACAATTTATGGGGACTTCCCTGGTGGCTCAGTGGTTAAGAATACACCTGCCAATGCAGGGCACACGGGTTCGAGCCCTGGTCCGGGAAGATCCCACATGCTGCGGAGCAGCTAAGCCCGTGCGCCACAACTACTGAGCCTGCACTCTAGAGCCCACGAGCCACAACTACTGAAGCCCACGTGCCACAACTACTGAAGCCCGCACGCCTAGAGCCCGTGCTCCGCAACAAGAGAAGCCACCGCAATGAGAAGCCCGCGCACCGCAATGAAGAGTAGCCCCCGCTCCCCGCAACTAGAGAAAGCCCGCATGCAGCAACGAAGACCCAACACAGCCAAAAATAAATTAACTAAAAATTTTCCCACCCCTTTCCCTGTTAATCATCTTTAAAGTATGTTGATGGTATCCTTAATTTTGATTAGCTTTAAATGCTTCTCTCTAAATATAGTTATCAATATTTTAATGCGTAAGGCTCCAGACATGGAACATTATAGTATATTTTGCAAAAATATAAGTTTTCATATGCTCTGAATTCATGGTTACCTATTTATTATCTAAAATAAAACCATCTTAAGGATAGAAGTTCTGCCTTCTACATTCTTTGATTCTTGTCATAGTACGTAGTATAGTAACTGAATACAGCGTCCACTACATAAATGTTGTTAAATGACATTGTTAATTTTAACTAACATTTACTGAATGCCTGGTCTGGATAGGCTGTTGCCAGGAGTTTGAGACACGGAAATGATAAATACATGGTTGATGCTCAAAAGGAACTAATACAAAAGGATTTTTTAAAAAGGTGGGTTTGAAAAAGAACTAAACAGACTCCTCAGAAATGAGTTCAGTTATATTTTATTTTTTACTTTTATTTTTTCTGTGGTACGCGGGCCTCTCACTGTTGTGGCCTCTCCTGTTGCGGAGCACAGGCTCCGGACAGGCAGGCTCAGTGGCCATGGCTCGCGGGCCCAGCCGCTCTGCGGCATGTGGGATCTTCCCGGACCGGGGCACGAACCCGTGTCCCCTGCATCGGCAGGCGGACTCTCAACCACTGCGCCACCAGGTTAGCCCAAAACTGTGGTTTTAAAAGGCATGTTTGCTTAGTTCAGATAGAGGCTTATTTTAAAGCAGTGTTAAATTTATAGAGATGGGCAATTCAAATATATTTTCTTAGTGTTTTATTCTTGGTTTTATTAAAGAAACTCAGAAATCTGAAGCTTTTACCAAGTCCTTATATAGTATTTGACTAAAGGGTAATATCAAGGTCCAGAAGTTGAAGTTGGTGGAAATAAGGCCAAAATAAGGATGTTTTGTTCACCACAATATAACCAGCACCTACAGTAGTGCCTGGAACTGAGTAGGGACTCAATTATACGTATTTGTTAAAGGCAGGCAGGCAGAATGAAGTATGTTCTCATTTACGATGTATCTGTGGAATAGGTCCCCATGTCTAGGTCCAATGTTATGATTGAAAACCGAAATCATTCCATCTTTACCACACTTCATATGTGTCTCATACCCACTTTAACAGAAACTCCATAAACTGCTAGGAAAATAACCAGAACCCACAGAGCAAAAGGGGAAAATAACAGATTTACACATTGCTATTTTCCTGGCCCTTTTATTGCCATAATGATGTGACTGATGCATAGGTCATAGTTTATAGGCCGACAGTTCCTGCATTTCACATCTCAGTGACCATCACACTACTTCATTTTCTACTAGGAATGTTCATCCATTAGCACTCTGTATTTCAACAGTGTATTTTAAGGTTCAAGATCACATGAAGTTCTACCTTGATAGATGAGTTGGATTTGGGAGGAAATTAGCATCAGAAAAGCACTGTTCCTACCTTTGCTTTTCAGCCATACTATCTTAGGTATTTCCCTTTCGCTACCATATAAACCAGACTGAGTTCCAAAGCCATGCCTTCTTAGCTCTGTGATTTGATCAATTCTGTCCACCCATCAACGATCAGTTGGTCAATTGACCAACTCAAGTGGTCTATCAGGCTTCTTGACAGTGTGCTTTTTCAGAGATGTTTCACATGTAAAACTCACTGCGAATGTTTACAATAGAGTTAAAATAGTCACAAAGGTGAGGCTGGGTTTTAGGTACGGTCTCCATGGCAACGACTTCTTCCTGCTGGTTCTCCCTCGGGGTCTGTTTTCCAGACCTCAGCTGAGGCCATCTGTCAATGTTTTACAGCGCTTCTCTCCTCCCTCCACGCCCCTTATCCAGTCTCCACGGCAACCAGAGTGACCTTCCCCAAGACTAATTCTATCCCAGCGGCTTCAGGACAAAGCACAGACGCCTTGGGCACATGCAGCCCTTGGGAAGCCCATCTCCTTCACCAGTGCACAGCACACCA